AATAAAACAAAATAAAAACTGTAATTCCCCTTCCCCCCCCCTCCCCCTAAAAAAACACAAAAAACAGCTGTCACGTATACGGTTTAGTGTGGGTTGTGCTCCTGATGATCCCAAGATAATCCTGTAGACAAATATTTATTCCCGTGAGGCGTTTATTTTTCTCAGTCAAAAAAAGCTCCAATTTTGGGTGCTTTTGGTTTTCTCCGATCTTCACAACACCCGGCTCGGAAACGGGGGGGGAGGGGTATTTTTTGGATTTATCTGTATATACCGAAGGCAGTGAACCCTAATTATAATAATTACAATGTAAAAAAAATACCGACCCGGAATAGCGACATTAAAGTGACGTCATCAGCTTCACGTGATCACGTAATTTGACCAGCGTTCGCTAATCGTGGCGGGCGATGTCACGCCCTTCAAATTTAGCATATTTCGTCGACCTCATACATGGATAGATAGATACTAACATCTGTACCCTTTATAACGGGCGGTACCTAGCGCCACCTAGCCTAGAAACTAAAGACCAAAAGTGTGATTCCTCCCTTCGGACTCCTAAACCAATTTGCTTACCCTTTGCAATTTCGTAACTATCACCGGGCGGGGTGAGATATAACCAGGGTGATCTTCGGGGGATTAAGCAAAAAAAACTAAAAGCACCCCACTCCCTTCCCCCAGGCGAGGGAGGCATCAATTTTCCTCTTCGGTGGTCCATTGCGATAAATCATTTTCAAAACCCATAGAACAATATTGGAAGCCGTGATTCCTTGGTCACGAATCACGTGTTCGCCAAACGCTGCCGCAGCTCTCGTGTCCAGTGCGCCATCTTGGTACGTGCCCAAGCAATGGCGAATTCCGATAATTGGTGCAGCAACTATCCTAGACGGCGCGCGCTTTTGAGAAGGTTCTAAATTGTGTCAGCGTCGACACAGCACTCCTTCGCGGGTAACGCCTTGCTCCCGTTGGCCGGCGTAAGCTATCACGTGACCTCAGTGAGAACCAATGGCGCTGCGGTCACGGACCAATCGAGTGCGCACAAAAAAAAAAAGCGCAGCATGGCGGCGCATTTACCGCGTGGAACTGGTTCAGTCGGTGATAGCAAAGCACAAATACGACGGGATCCGTCACGATGCACTTTTGGCAGTTGAAGATAGAGTATGCAGGCGAGCTCGTTGATTGTAGCTGCCATAGACCCTTTCCGGAATTGAGTGCCATCTGGTGACTCAAATGGCAGTTTTTGTTTTACTATACTAATGGCGGCAATGAACCTGTAGTGTGCAGTATTTAATGGGGCACCGTCATCTTAAAGGTCAACGGTAAACGAGAATGTGCACTTCCCTACAATTATTTTTCAATCTCTTTTAGTGTCGATGGCGAAACAGATGCAGCCAGTCGGAACGAAGCGCCAACCCACACAGACGTCTTGATAGAGTTCTATACATCAAGGGCCTTTGAAGCCGAGTGTGTGCTACTAACACATTGACTGCGACCAAGTTAGAAATGAACGCTTACGCAGCTCTTGCGTCCAATTCCTGCTTCACGCCGCGCTAACATCTAGAATGTATAGGCCTCGAATCATCTCCTTAGGAGCATCTTTAACTTCTTCCTTCATCAGTAAACCGAAGGCCGCCATTAGTATAGCACATATGCCGTTTTCAGATGATGATGATAGTGATCAAAGTGGCCAGACTGAATTCCGGAAAGGGTCTATCCTCATCGGATTTTAGCTTCGTTTGCGGTCGGACGTGAAGGGAAACGTAATATCGGAACTAATCTGACGAACGCTGCCTGTGAAACAGGCGGTAAGCTTCACCTCAAGCAACGCGTATCTGCAGAGAAGCAGCCCCTGGGAGCACAGGAGGTGGTCGTATGGGGTTCAACTCAATGTCACCTAGAGGACAAGGCCTGCGCACGACGTCATCGTTGGCGGATCTCCGACCGGCCGCCAAGCAGCAGAGGCGTCCGTCTTGGCGTCGCAGCCTGCTAGCGTTGAGCTCGTCGTGAGACGCGGCACGACGCGCTGGCGCCGATGCTGACGCGAGCTAGGCAGCGGCGCGTTGATCCACTCGCGATGACGGTCGAGAGGAAAAGGAACAGGCCTTGTCTTCCAGATGGTGCTGCGTCACTCCTATGTCGTCTCGTTCTATCACCTACCGTCCCGCTACAACAGGAGCACATAACAAATGATCATCCGCTATCCCAGTATGAAGGCATGTTTGCACCATCGGAAATGGGTGAAGAGCGAATCCCAACCAAAACTCCTTTTTTCGCAATTTACGTAGAATGTTTTACCCCTGATCCTCCTGGTACTTAACTACACGAATAACTGGCGAAGAGTTTCGGAAGCTCCCCTAATACGACCAATCACCCCATATATGTTGGATAGCGCAGCAAGAGGGCCTACTTAAACTGGTACCTTGCAATTTCTGTAATACTTTAAGCGTCCCCTTGTCGGTGGCAGGTTAAAGGGACTATGAAATAAATATTGAGCTTTAATAAATAATTTTACACTTGGATTTTACTAAACGCGTATAATATAGTGGGTTACAAGAAAACTAGTACACGAGGATAAAAAGCCAAAAGCCTGATTTTCGGTACAAAATATAGATATAGCGGACCCTTGTTTAAGTCGTTTTCTTCAAAAGCTTTTGCTTTTTAAGTGTGGTACATCCTTGGTACTTAAAGCACGTAAGGCGACCTGAGCTCACGCATTGGACACGAGCACTGCGTCACTAAGGCATATTCGCTCGTCAACAGTCAATTTATCGGCAAATATGTGGATTCGCGTTCGTGGCCATTGAGTGGCGTAACGGTACTTATCATCTCCTGGGAATGGAAAGTTCCGAGGTGTGCTTAAAAAGCCTGTTGGAGCTTGGAGTCGTCACAGCAGGTGAAATTCTACGTAACAATTATGTGATTTCTCATGTCGCTTTTGAGTTGAGGAGTTAAGCTAAAGAGGAAGAAGTTGACAAATCATTTCATGGTCCCTTCAAGAATTCAGTATATGGTTCGCCTCCCCCTTGAACTATCTGCCTTTTATACCTATTCAACGCACGTCCATCCAAATCACGGTGGAAAGCAACAGGCACGTACGGCAGCGCGTTGATTGGGATGATTCTGCTCGCACATTTAGAGCGCTCCAAAAGCTCCTCTTTTGGAGCGCGCATCTTCGGCTGGCCGATTTAGCTCAAGTTGGTTATCGTCCGCTCGCAGATTTGTGGGAGCGCCAGCTCCCCGGAGCACTTCCGACCGCTTCGAAACCTCTCTACCAAAATTTTCTGATCTTTAGGAAGTCGAAAAAAACGCGGCTGCGTAAGTCAGTTTCTTTCGCTAAGCGCTGCTCACCGTTAGAGCGATCGCCAGACCAGCCGCACTCACGAACCGTTCTGTCCGGTCGGTTGTTTACGCGGTGTGGTGACGGTCAGTGCGTGTACTGCGTCTTGTATACTGGTACCTTGTATGAATCAGGAGTGCAGAGGTGGCACTTGGGCGTGGCGAATTGTAAGCGCTGAAATATGTGATCCCGAGAAGAAAAACGACATAAAGAACGGGAGAAACTCCGAAGAACTAAGCAGGTGCAAGGTTGGGGGTGTTCGTTTTACCGCAATTGATTGTTAAATATGTGCACTGCATGCCGCCGTTTTTTTTCTTGTAAAACAAGGCAAGTACACGCTAGATGAAAACAGTTTAAGTAAAAGTTATGTATTACTTTGCGTTAATTAAACACCAGTAGTTTTATCACCGACTTTTGCGATCGCTATGCCTGCCCCGCCGCTTCGAGATCGCCCAAATGTTTGGGAAAGTAGCGAATCTGGGCATATTCTTCTATATTTCTTAAACAAATTTCGTCGCACAAAAAATTCGCCCGATATGTGTCGGGTATTGCTTTTGCTGCTGGAGAGCACCAGTAGTGATTGGTCGTTGGAAAGTTCAATCGGGTCGTCATGTTCGAAGCTCTAAACTTCGAGTCCTGGCCATTTCGAACGGCGGACCCTCTTCGGCCGGTCGCTCCAAAATTTACGGTTAATATTCCGCTCGTAGATTTGGAGCGTGCCCCACAAAACGGGCTTTCCCCTTCCTCACCAATTTCGGAAACCGATCTTGGTCTACCAGTTAAATTCACCGTTAGCCTGCCACTGACAAAAGTAATTGTGGTATAAACAACCTTGGAAGGCCGACGAAACGGATCGACCGGATGTCGATCTGGAGGCCACAGCCGGTTTGTGTTTGTCGACGGATCACGCGTCCAAGACCACGTGACGCTTTGACGTCAGGGAGTTGTCAGATGACCACGTGAGACGGTGGCAAAAATTGCAAAGGGCAAGTGATCATGTGACCACCTTAGCTTTTTTTAGGTGCAGTGTACCGTTTATCGAGTGAAGCGACTGCTGTGTCAGGAAGCATTTCACTTTAAAGTCAATGACCAAGTGAGCACGGCATGGCGGGTCGTCAAAGCGCCCTGCCTTCAGCACACGCTCCGTGCCTTCCACAGTGCTTTGGCTGTGCGCTCGTGCGCTAAAATTGCATGAGACGCCGAAGCGTTCTCGAAGGCAGGAAGTTCGCGCTGGAGGTGGGACAGCCGAAGTTTCTATATGCCGTTCTTAAGTCATCCGTAACCATAGCCGCGTTTCGGTGCACCGGATAGGGGATCGTTAGCCGAGTGCGTCAGCGCCCGGTAGCTCGGAGAACCTGAGTGAAAGCTCGCGCTGCAGAACTCAGGGATCCTGGGTTCAATCCTCACCCCTGCCCGATCTGGATGAGCATCGTACCGGCACGCACGGTGTGCCACTACTGCATGATGCGCGTTAAAGACCCTAGGCTAGCAGTCGTACTGCACTGGCTAAATTTCTCATCTACAGCGTAAACCACTATTTCCCTAACTCAAAGGCAGACTGACCTTACGTTGTGGTTAATAAGTTCCAGGCTTCCTTTGTTTTCAACACTCCTCTCTCTCTTTCTCTAAACAGGATCGTTAATATGTTTTTTTCTTCGGTGCATCGCAGGTCAGGAGGCGGTGCTGAAGCACCTGTCCATCAAGGAGCTGCTGCCGGCCACGGAGCACTTCATGACGTACGAAGGCTCGCTCACGATGCCCGGATGTTACGAGACGGTCACGTGGATCGTCATCAACAAGCCCATCTACATCACCAAGCAGCAGGTGGGTCCTCCGCATAGTACCGCCAGGTAGAAGGCCGTATTGCTGATTTTTTTACGTCACCTACTGAGGGCCGGCGTGCTGCCCACGTCATACACGGGATCCAGTCAATTTGTTAAATGACAGGTGGTCGAGGGGCAAGTCGTTAAAAGCCAACTTGCCGAACAGGCAACTCCTTTTAGGCTAATTTGAACCGGAGGACTACGTCACTCTTCTGATCGAACTCGCGTTGATTGAGTGCGAACACGAATCCCAGCAACACCACCTAGAAGAAAAGGACTGCGCATGACACGATATTTGGTGAATTCCCGACACACCCCAAGCGGCATAGAGGCTGAAGCTTGACGTATTTTGCCGCAAAGCGTCGAGGCTCTGTTCTACTCCGACGTTGAGCGCAGCGAACGTAGTGTAGCGCAAAACGTGGGCCTTTCATTGACCGGCGACGAGCTGGAACTCCATACCTGCGACCAATCGGTATTTGTGTGCGCTGCTTTACGCCGCGTTTGCCACGCTCGACGTCGCAGCCTAACATAGCCATCAGACGCGTACGTCGTGGCGTCGCCGCCTGCGAGCGTCTCACGAGCGCTGCACAAGAACCTGGAGACGCCACAGCGAACGCGTTTACCGCTTTGCGGCTAGAGTCGTCAAGCCTCAGCCTAAATTGCCGCTTGGGGCGTCTCGGTGATCTACTAACAGCAGTAACCTGGCTCAAAATAAAAACGTGCGATTGTCATTTACGGATAATTTGGATCATAATCAGCCTGTTTCTGAAAACGACGGGTGTACTTCAAATTTCGGGTAGGTATAAATTTAAAGCGTTAAACCCAGGTGACCAAGAATCACGTCGCGTCGGACCGACGCCATGATTTAGCCCAATGCCGTGCTGTTCCGTGCGACGGTTACTGTGATTAAAGGGCTGTTTATACTTCAGCGTTGAGCGCAGCGAACGCAGCGTACCGCAGAACGCGCACCTTTCATTGGCCGGCAACCAGGAACTTGATATCTGCGACCAATCAGTATCTGTGCGCGCTGCGCTACGCCGCGCCCGTCGACGTTACGTTGGAGTATAAACGTACCTTAAGATGCTTGGCGGCGCAATGCGACGCGATTTGTACTCAGGTGTGTTTCAGGCTTTAAGCTTCGAACACGGAAAACTGGCAAATCCCGGTGCACGAAGGTTCCTTTTGACGATGACAAGCCCGTGCGCACTCTACACGAAGTAGCAAGCCAGCATCATTCGGCTCGGTTAACATTTTTGTCTCGCTAATAAACCAACGGTCTATCTCGCTTTCTTTCTATCCCATCCGCATAAACTAAAAGTAGTTTAAAAAGCAATTCGACTAGGCCTGTGAGGAGTCTTTTTGGAAATTGAACGTCTTGGAGGAACAGGTTACATTCAACCAAAGGAGTCAATCATCCTGTTTTACAATATTACCACCTATTTTAATCTTACCAGAGGAAACTTCGATCTAGGATTCCTTTACGCGTCATTGACACCATTAGTGTTCGTTTCAGTGATCAACTTTCTCCAGCGGACTGTTGGTTCATTCGCCCTGATTAAAGAACAGGCTTGGTATTCACATGGGAGATGCTCTTCTGGGAGGGATGTCCAACAATCGGCAGAACCAGCGGGACTCCCTCCCCGACTCCAGCGTTGACACGAACGGCGGAGAACCGAGAGGAATGTCAGTGATATGAGACGCATTTAGCTGTCGCACTCCCGACAACAGGGATCGGTGCGTGCTGACAAGAGTAGAAAAATAGAGGCGTACATAAAACGCCAAAATTTTATTATTACAGCAGCTCCATTAGATCCGGAAGATGAAGAAGAAAAAAAGTTTTTTTTGAATGGGTGGGTTAAACGCAAAGAGCGTGGAACCCAAAATCAGTTGTGTGAGGAGCGGCCTGAGTACGGCATTGATGAATATCGGAGACTCCTTCGGGCGCCTAGGACGATACGCGCAAGAGTACAAGCCACAACAGGTTAGGCGATCCTGATGCCATCGCCGGTATCCCGCAGGTCAAACTTTGTAAAGTTGCTAATACGGGCAATTGCGAAGATGTTCCACATCAAGGCGAGGAGTGTTTGCGCAACCCGAGGGTGCAGCTCCCCACTCCTCCTGGGGTGTCTACGTCAGAGTGCCTCCGCGCAAAGACGTGACGTTGTTACCACGCGACGCGCATTCCGGGTAGCAAAGGGAGGGATATCTTCCTGTGTGAATACCCCTAGAAGCGACAGACGTCATTAACATAGAAGTGGTTGTCATATCTGTACGAGTATATACTAGTTATACTACACATCAACGCGATATGATTACTACTGTTACTAAAAAGCAAGTATCAACGATGAACAGGGAAGCGGCGATGTGGAATCTTTTTTTACGCCGCCGGGCTTCTCCGGTTTGTTTATAAAGAACCGGAATCAAACGACCAAAATCAAAACGACTCCCGAAGCAACTAGTTAGTTTGGCACTACACTCAAGGACGGGATATTGTGCCCCTCTTCTCTCATTGTCCGTCCTCTTCTGGAGTATTTTTTTATATACACTTAGTGTTTTTGTTTTGGTATTGTTGTCCATTGTGTCTAGCGCTTCTGAACCGTGAACGTTGTGTGGGAAGGCACGGGTCTTTGCGCATCACGAAGCAGCAGCATGTTGTTCCGTTTCGGGAAAAAGGCACGAACATCGGGGAGCCGCTTCCAACTTGCGGTCGCCTTCGTAGCTTTCCCTCAGACCGTTCTTAAATATTTAGGAGAAATAAAACGAAAAAAAAAGTAAGAAGCGGCGCCTGAAGACCTCGACTTGAGTAATTAGTCCGTCGCCCGTACGCAGAGCAAACCTCCGACCCTGGCACGGAAACAACGACTGCCCGTCCCTGTTTTTTTTTTTTTTTTTTGTTTTTGTGTTTTTGTTTTATGCCTACATCCTTCGCACGGGGTAGTTAGTGCGCCGTTTGGCGTCCCACCGGGCGTGTCTCTTTCTGTACTCACAAAGCGAGCACCAAAAGCGCGTTCGCGCACGACAAGAAACCCGGTGGACAGCAGCCAGCAGCTACACTTCGTTTCATCTCACGATGAGCCAAGCTTCTCGTATTGGTCGCCATTTTGGTTCGTGGAATGACCAGTTTCTTCTTGACAACTCCATTCTTTGTGAGCCGATCTAAATTCGCTGGTGACGGGCAGCTTTGTGGAGACGTTTCTTGAACCGAGATTTGGCTATTCACACACCAGCGAAATAAGCGTACATCTTCGCACCACCATTGCATGCGGCGTCGATGCTTGAAGGCATTGAAAAATAATTGTTCTGTCTTTAAATAAGCAAGGACGAAAATACCATTTTAGGAGATCTATAAGGATAAGAATGATTGATAAGTTAATTGCATGCAAAGTGCCAAAGACGCTCATATTGGCGAGGAATGCTTTCAGTCCGATGATGCTCCATAGCGATCTTGGTGCGACGGGTTCAGAACGACCATTTTAAAGATTCGCCTGGTGCTGATCGGCAACTGAAACCGATCAGCAAATCGCCTGGTGACGATTAGTCGTCTGTATGTTTGTATCCGTTTGTGTCCGGCTAGCAGGAAGGAAAGGCAATTTTGCTACTTTACCAGGGTCCAGTAACATTCAGCCAATCCAACGCCGTGAACGTGTCACCTGACCACGCATTGATTTCCATAATTTTTACGTTCAAATTCCCAAGGTTTTTTATACCAAAATTTCTCGCCTATGTAAATCTGCTTCCTTCTTCTTGTAGGGGATACTTAATTCGGCCTAAAGGCCGGTTCACAGGGTTCCGTTTTTCTACGTTACCGATGTTATGGGAGCTTACGTCAGCTTACACCGAGAATCACCCTAACATTCGTGCTTCGTATGAGGCGTGGCAACTATGGCTGGGCGATTGATTGATTAACCTACCGATGAATCGATTAATATTTAAATGCGTGCGGAAACGAAATGACGTGAGCGCGAGCTCTCTGCCACTCGCTTCAAAGTCGGCCAGTGAAGAGCGCAATGCGTATCGCGCTCGTGACGTCAGTAGTTCATGCACGGCCAAGAGTACTGCATTTGCGAGCCTTGCCGCTTGGTGGCGTCAGCGCGTGACAATTTCGCCTAGCAGTGCTGTCTGAGGACTGTACGCCCTCTGATCTATACATAGCTTGCCCATAACATCAGTTGCGGCCATGCCGGCATTTTAATGTGCCACGACCGTTCAGTTCACCGTGTTAGTTTGACACCGCACAAGTAGTAGCTCGAGGAAACCAGTAAGTAGAAATAACCATCAGTACCCAGAAGTGGCGGCACCTGAAATTTATGTATAAGGTAACTGAAATACCTATTCTCGATCTAAAATGGGCCGTAAAAATCGGCGCCTGCACGAAGCAATCTAAACTTTTCGTGAAAGGTGTATTTCGCAAGTCCATTTTTTCTGGTAAAATTACAAAACGTAGTCCCCTTTCTGTAAAAAATAGAGCGAAAAAACTTGCCAGGGTCAACGGCGGACGGCGACGCAGACGATAAATGGCGTCGGGAGCAGCGTCGGAAGGTGTAGCCGACCAGCAAAAGAAAGCAGACGACACGCAGACGAAATCCGTTGGCAGCAAAAGCGCCGTCGTTATGCAACCGCTTTTATGTTTTATTTTGTTTACTTTAAGTTTGCTTTTATTGTCCGCAGTTATTTTTAAACCAAACGTACAGCACAAACATTTGATGTTCATTTTAGTAAACCACTGTGGTCGCGAGCAGATCCGATAAGGAGGTAGCGCCATCTATCAATACATGCGCCAAATGCGTCCCGCCACTCGACTCGGTCGTGTGCGTCGCCGTCCGCCGTTGACCCTGGCAAGTGTCTTAGCCCTATTTTTGACAGAAAGGGAGCTACTCTTTTTAATTTTACAAGAGAAAAACGTCCCGTCTTTAAGGCGACAGTTTTTCTTCCTTATAAGAACAGAACCATCGCAATCGTTCGCTTCTCAGCTTTTTGTTTTATTTCCTAATAAAAAAAAAA